CACAGTTTGATCAAACTACTGAGATAGTGGAAGTTGGGTACCCTTCGATACTACACACATATTTGCACACACCCATGCACATCTTACAGAGTTGTGAGCATGCCATGGATGGGTGGAGGGGTCAGAAGTAGCCAGTGTGTCTCCCCACCCTCAACATGTCAGTTAAAAGAGCTCTACTGTCTTTCTTCAGAAAATGAGGGGGAAACATATTTCTGACGCATTTTTTTCATATAGTAAACATCTGCAAATTTCAACTGTTGTGAAGTTTCTAAAATGAAAGAAACGTAACCTGGGGTCCTCGTGGTTTTCAACACCGCTGACTACAGTTTGCCTTTTGAATCCAGTACTGTATGTTTCCTAAGTGATTTTTAATGGTAACATTTGGATGAATATATTTCAGTGTGTCACGAAAACCAACTTGATGAGACTTGTAGAAACTTGACAATCCTTAATTATGAACCATTCAGAATCTATAATCATTAGTCTAGTGTTATGATAAACAGCACACACTGTGACTGTATACCTATTTCTACATTTGAAATGCTTTACTCTGTTTGTTTCTGATTTTCTTGTTAATTGGCTGTATAATAATTGACTGAATGAAGAAGGATTTATTAATCCAACTTCAAGTTCTCGTGCCTCGTATTCTGGCAATATTTAAATAGGTTTGCTGATGTATTTAACTCACTACTAAGGTGACTCTCAACACATCTGTAAGGTTGCTGCATTACATCTTAAAACAATTCACATATAGAAAAAAAAGTAGATTATCAATTAGCATTATGCTAGCTCACTGAATATACTTTCCCCATTGTAATCTGGATGTGAAAGTGTTGCATGCTAACTCCAAAATCATGAGGACAATGAATGTGCGGGCAACTGTTTTCAATTATGCAGACAATAAGATGTCAAGCAGAAGAATTACCTGCAGCTATATGGAGTTTTATGCATTTTCAGAAATCTAAAATATCAATACTTGCAGTGTTGGTTCTGTCGAGTCAGAGGCCTCTTTTCTCTTATCCCTTTGTTCAGAATAGAAACAAAACAAAAAATCGTTCACAGATGAATCACAACAGATTTCTAAACTTGTAGTAATCAACGTAGACAACACAATGCGTCTGTAAAACAGGTTGAGCTTGCAATGTGCAACTGTCATTTCCTGGAAAAATAGATTCCTGTATTGCTGTAATTCAATCCACCCACACACACGTATTTATATCATATTCCACTTCTGAATGAATCAGGTGTACGCTCACTATTTGATAAATGTTTTGCACTGGATTGCCACGTGTTACTTATTGAATTACATGTTTCTTACTATAAGTGTGTGATAGGATTAAGATAAATGTATTAGACCCTGACTGAAGTATGAGGTCGTTTGAGGGAGAATTTGGCGCGAGTTGGATGCCATGAACTGACTCTTTGTAATGATTTAAAGGAACCAGGGTTGCATTTGTAATTTAGAGGCACTGGTGACCTGGAGATCAGGAGTCTCACGCTTGTGGCGAAGCTAAACGTATCACTGCGCTTTTCCATTTTATATGATGCTCTTTTTCCGAGTAATTTACGCTACGTGAAGCCGCACAATGTCTCTGCAACTATAAGCTTCAGTTGCTTGATCATCGAAATTAAGGACAAGAGTAAAGGGTTGGATGACAGAGTGCTGACAGAAATGTTTTCTGTGACCGACAGATGAGACGGAGAGCTTTTGTTTCTTTCTTCTCCGCGTCCTCATACCGAGACGTTGACATGTTCCCCCTCTCTAGCTTGTATCAACCGTAACTGAGTAAACGTATCAGGTTTTGAACCTGAGTGGGAGATCGGTTAGTTGGCCAGCTGGCTGCGTGTGTGTGTGTGCGTGCGTGTGTGTGCGTGTGCGTGTGTGTGTGTGAGAGAGAGTGCCACAGAAAAAGATAAATGAGAGCGAGGTATGAAGGCACGGTGTGAGGAATAGAGTGGGTGCGCCGGGGCCATCATTGGGGTCACTGCAGGCGGGCGGGGTTTAGGTTCAGGTCACACAGGCAGCTGAATCACTGAGAATTGATGGGAGGCAGGAAGTCTTGAGAGCAGAGGGGAGGTAGACGTCATATCTGTGTTTTTTATTAGTCTGCATTACCGAGCTAGATAGAAATGCTCCCTCTTCTTTTGTACAACGCTTGTTAAAAGTTTTTTTTAATCTAGCATAACAATAAAACATTTGTATTTATCCTGAGCAGAGAATACATTCACACTCTCTCTGTGTATTTAATGCCGTCACAACCAACAACAATGTCTTGGAAGCGTAATGTCCACAATCAAGGTTTCCCCCATAAACACTGTTAGCTCTGTTAGCACTATATCTGTTGTTAGCGTTGTTAGCTGCTAACTGCTGGCTGAGCCAATGATGAGAGGTGAGAGCCCTGTGAAGATAATCTCTCAATTAGATACACTATAGATATTTATATATTTATTTCTTCTGTTGATAGTTATATTTGTGTTGTTTGCTGTCTATGATTATTTTTCTATTTTAAATTGTATCATATGTTTGTACATTAACTCACGTGCTATGCCTTGTTAACGTGCTGCTGAAACAGAAAAACAATCTTCAAATTTTGATCAACAAAGTACATCTAATCTAATCATTACAATTATCTGGATTCCCTTTCTGGAAAATTATGACATTGTTAACCAATATGCCAAATCATAATAAACATCTATCTAGCAATATTTAACCCTCCTATTGTCTTTGTTTCCCTCCTTACTTTGGTGTTCGCTGTCAAATTTGACTGGTCCTGTTTTAACTGCTATTACATTAACACAAAAACCATTAATCATCACCACATTTAATTTAAAACCCTTTCAAACTGTACATATTGTATCAGACTACTGGTATACATGAAAAACTGCAGTAAATATACAAATAACAGACACTGAGTGAACATGTATCGCGTGTGCCAGGTGTGATCCATGTGGGGGGATGGGCACATAAGAGCGGGAAATGTATCAAATTGTTCTGTGTGTGTGTGTGTGTGTGTGTGTGCCAGGTGTGATTAACATGGGGGGAGGGGCACATCTAGAGTATGTGGGTTTTTCTGTGTGTGTTTTATCTGTTTTATCTGATCTGGATGGTTACTAATTCCTCTTCTGTATGACCGGGTGTTACAAAGTTGACTAAATCATCCAAAATTCAATGAAAGTGGTGATCAGCCATTTTAAATGTTCAAATGTCTACTGTGAAGGATATCATAAAGTCTTAATGCAATTGAATGTAAAACAAAAAAGTTATGATTGATGAAAGTAGTAAATCGGTCAGATTTGACCCGAAGACAACAGGAGGTACAGAAAGGTGTGTATTTGTGCTAGCTTGGGCCTGTATCCACATCCATTATAGTGCTATGAAGAATTTAATATAGCGTCATCACTAAAAATAGAGAGAAAATAAACTATAAATATCAGTAAAAAATTCCTGAATTCAAGTCTCAGGTTTTTCTGCATTTATTACATTTCTTTGCTGATATTTTTCATTTTTCAGTGAAAATCAGGCCATGGTGTGTCTCCACTTATATTGATGTTTGACTGTTTTTGTAATAGCAACAAAGCTATTAGTTTTCATTATAACTCATCTATAAATCATACAGCTGCTTACATAACTTATCTTAATATAGAAAGGGGTATGTTAGTGCGAGCTTGGGCCTGTATCCACATCCATTATAGTGCTCTGAAGAATGTAATACAGCGTCACCACTAAAACTAGAGAGAAAATTAAATATCAGTTAAAAATTCCTGTTTCAGGTTTTTCTGCCTTTTTTATACATTTCTTTGCAGATATGTTTCATTTTACACTGAAAATCAGGGCATGGTGTCTCTCCAGCTATATTGATGTTTGACTGTTTTTGTAATACTGTAGCAACAAAGACATTAATTTTCCTCAAAACAAATCTATAAATCATAGCTGCTTATATAACTTATTGGAAAACAGAAAGGTGTGTATTTGTGCGAGAGAGAAGCTTGTACCCAGTAACCCTGAGCTATTGACTCTCTGCATGTTGACCTGTGCATACTTGACACTCAGGGCCAGCCTGGATTAGCTGGACACACTGCAGCTAGCGGCATGGATTAAATGCATCAACCCATTCAACTGCAATGCTCTCTTACACACAGCTGACCACACTCCTTCCACCCAGAGGTGCCTGTTCTTTGTCACGCCAGCTATTGTGTGCCATACACTGTGGAAAGCCAGCAGTGTGTTGTTTCAGCTTGGCTATTGCGTCAATGACGGGTCCTCCGCCTGGGTGCCCGAGGGCCTGTGGGTGCTGTAGGGTTAATACCTGAGGATCAGAGGGATTGCCCCAGCCTGGAGACTGCACACATAACATCACTCTGTCCTCCCCTCTATAGCTTTGTCGTCTCGAGCTGGACCGAACTTTGGGAACTGCAGCATGTGAAGCAGCTTTTCCAAATTCAAATTTCCATGGCCTCTTTGGCAAAATTCACCTGGAACTCATCAGAGCTGAGGACTTCTCGGAAAAATGGAACTGGAAATGCCCTCTCAGACTCCTGTTCTCACACTCTTAATGGAAATCTAAACAAAAAACACCCCAACCGCTCTCTCTCTTTCTCTCTCTCTCTTTCTCTTGCTCCCTCTCTCTGTAACACACACACACTCCACTGTTTCATCTGATAAGTTGGTGTGAAAGTCATATATGGAATGTATGTATACACGTGCAATGGAAAGTCTTTATATTTATAGATGTACCGTATCTCAGAGTGGTGCAGAAAAATTAACTACATTTTTGTTTCCATTACAGTTTTCCTTCCAGCCCCAATGCGTGTAGATCGCCCTAAAGTCACCTTCTACTTTTAGGAAGTATTAATGCTACCTGGAATAAAAATGTGCTTTATTTGCCAAGACAGGATATACAGCAAAGAAACTTTTCCAGTACTGGACATTGATTTACAACCCATTTCAGTCAAGCATGTGCTGACTAGTCATGTTTCTCTTTTTTGTGTTTAATTCACAGGGCTCTATTTTCAGCACACAAGCTCCAGATTCATACAACCTCTTCCTCACCAGTGCAGTCACGGACGGTGTGAAGATGTGGGACCTCCGTTCACTGAGGTTGGTTTCAATATGGTCTTTTTTTTGTGTTTGTTATCGATGCGCATCTAATGTGATAACCAAAAAAAGTGTGTTCAAACGCCTATGTCATTAAATACACACTTAGTAAATACTTCTGTAAGCTTAGGTTAAAAACCCATAAGCACAACATTAGTGGCATTACAGTATACAGTACAGTGGATAGCAACTTAACCAAAACAAGAAAGCGTTGAAAACTCTATATTCACATTATCTTTTAGGACACTAGGCTTAAAGTGCAATACAGAACTACTGGCATTGATTCTAAAATAACTGCCTCATCCTGACGTAATAGGGTTTTGCCATTATTTCAGACAGTTATCTTTAACACCTGAATGCAACCTCTGTAAGAGCTTAGCCTTACTGTATCTTTCTCTGTTTCTGACAGAAAGCTTAACCTAATACATTAACTGTGATGAGTAACTGTAATCACCCCATTTGTTTTGTGCTGGCTTTACCGTCATAATCTCTACAACATTTGGTCCAAATTACAAAAGAGCAATAGATATTCCATCACATTGGGGAAGAAATATTAAGTGCTAAATGACCTTATATTCCAATAACCCCATAAGATGTTCTCACAGAAAACAATCCTCAGTTGATAATGGAATCTGCAATTGTTCAATTTCCAAAGTTACAAATATTTTTCTTCTGGCATTTAGTAGCCGATCCATATAAGGCAGATAATTCAAGAAGGCTCTCTTGGATTTAAAAATGTTCCTTTTGGCCCAGATGAAAGGCATTTTTAGGTAGTTCGTTCATTCATGGCTGAGTCTGCTTTCATGTTTAACTCTATATCCCGGACTCAATCAAAACCTTATTTTGTATCAGATAAATATTTGTGCATGGTTTCCAGGTCAACTTCTGCTCCTTAGAGCTGTCATCAAGCATCCCTCAGTAGATGCAGTTCCTCTGAGTTGAAACATGTGTATGTATGAAAACAACAGCATTTGTCAGGCCTGTTCATTTGATTTCCCTCTTTGATAAATGTTATGTGTCTGTTTTCGTAGCTAGTGCTAACCACAAGCAGTGGTACAGCTCACCTAAATTAATATATATTTATGTGAGGTTTGCCGCTCATGGGAGTAGTTAGGTCAGTTCTTGGTTTTATGTTCTTTTTTTTCTCTGAATTATATAAAAAGGCAATATAAAATTCTTGGAAATATTGACTTGCACGTGTAAAGCTGCCATAAGGTGCTCATGTGACTGTTGTTTTTGAACAACCATCAACCTCACAAAGATATGTTTGAAGAATGTTCAGAAAAGAATATCTCTTAACCCAGGGATGTCAAACTAAAGCTAACTGAAGTGCTAGATATCCTTAAAGGTAAGGTAGTCGATTTTTTTTTTGGATTTTGCCTTTAGGGCCTAGGCTATTAGGTAACTTATTGAGCGCTTTTACATCAACATAATACTTTTTTTTAGAAAATTAATGAGACCAGACATTTTCTCACGACACTGACGCAATAAACCGTCATTCCGAGTTTGATTTCTGCAATCTGTAGTCATTGCCAATTTATTAATTGGTATGTTTTACAAACTGTTTTTCAATTAGACATTAACAGTAATCTTATGACTGTATCGTTCTAGTCCATAAACACTGCTGAGGAATGAGTCTCATGGCTAAAAGCTGTTATTCTTTATATTGAACATAAATACAGTGTGGCCATTTTCCCGTAAAGTTAATGGCGTAATATTCTTATTGGTCACAGAAACGCATAAATTGTTACTGTAGGTTGGAACAAGAGGAAGATTACTGTTTCCCCTCTTCAATCAAACTATAGGAACTTCTAGGAATAAACCACAATGGGAAATGTACATTTCACTACTGAAACTCAATCTTCCTTTTTATTTTGCTCTCACAAGAGAATCCCCAGCCCTTACTGTACTATTAATTTGTTTATTTATATATATGGGTTTATTTTTTAAAGCCTTTACTCACCCCTTGTATTTCCTAATCTTTATGTCTTGACGAGTCAACACTTTAGTATTTAGCAGCACAGTTTCAAATCCCCTGCAATCAATCACATAACAGATTTTATTTAAAGCTGCAGACAGTGATGATCGGGTCCTCACACATCCATGTGTGTTGGGCGTATTGGTGGTACCCTGAAGCAAATAAATGTGTTGACTTACAGCAGTTTCTTTGGTGAAACATCAAAATGGCTCTGCCAACCCAAACCATTGTAACTTTTGCCAAATTTGAAATCCTTTAGAAGTAAGTGCCCTTGAATGTTAGAAAACAATTTAAAATTCAAAATGGCAGCTGGTGAGCCTTTTTGCCATGCCCATGCATAGCACACATGTTTATGTAAATGACCACCAAGTCTGTATTTTGTGCAAGTTTTAGTCAGTTTTAAGTCCTCTTAAGGTATATAAAGAACAGTCATCCTAAAGATAGATTTAACAGATGTTTTTTCTTTAGTCCAGATTTGTATCCCCATGAATCTGGTGAAATGCACTGAGGTAACACTGAGAGAGTCCTTTAGATCGCTGAGTCCCTCAATCTGACAGGAGAGGACTCTCCTCCACCTTGTTGTTGAAAAAGATCCTTATATCCGTTAGCGTAGCTCGCTAGCACCAGAAGCTAACAACAACGATCTCTGGTACCGGTGCGCTCTCTCGCTCGCGCACGCACACAAAATGGCTCGTTCCACACACACACAGAACCGAGCTTGAATGAAACACAGAGACCTAGACGTACTTGTACTGTATCATATTATCATACCTGCCAACCCTACCGATTTGGGCGGTAGTCTACCGCTTTTGACATGTTTCTACCGCCTACCGACTTAGCTGGCTTTCCAATCTTCCCAAACTATAACAAATAAAAATGACACTCCATAGACTCTGGACTCGACTTTTGGCGGACACCAATGTAGCGTGTCAGTGATCGCATCGTACAAACAGTCCTCTGTGTTTCTGAAAGATAAACAACGTGCAGACCGTGGGGGGGGGGCGAGGAAAGGCAGCGTTACCCCCGGGGCTGATGGGTAATCACTCCCAAATTGAGGGAACGGGAACAGAGACGAGGCATTTGAGTCCTGCAGGATTTCCCCGTTAATATCAGTGTCTCGAAAACACATGTTGGTGACTGAAAGACATCCAGTGTTTGGTCTTTTCCTGAAGCATCCTTCACCTACACTGTCTCAACTGAAAGAGGACCACAAACACACACAAAATACAATACCATTTTGAGATTTGGGGATATTTATCTCCCATTCTTTCATTTTTGGCGCCCCCCATTGATTGATGCGCCCTTAGCATTCGCCTATACTGCCTATGCCAAGGGCCGGCCCTGGTTCCATTTCTTCTGATTACCTCATTTGGGCGTGCACATTTGCCGCGCGCAAACCTACCTCTTTTGGATTTGGAAAGGTTGGCATGTATGTATTATTTTGGAATCAATAATTTTTCAAATTATGATTTCTTAATTTAAAAAAAAACATTTTTCCTCCTTGTCTCCCCCCGGTCATGCCTCTGCGCAAGCAAAAGCTAGCCTTTGCCTGATTTGGTCTGACGAAGTTAAATTGGGCCAAATATATTGGCTGCAAATACAGCGCTATGATTAGCTCGTTGATTACCTCGATGACTGACACTGAATCCCCTCCTGGATTCAGAATCTGTAAAGGCTCCCACTAAGTCATTAGGAAAATGCCGGATAGTCATCACTCACACAACACAGAATCTGTGTGTGTGGGGGGGGGGATTCTGCCGAGCACCTCCTTAAGGCTTAGCATTAGGTCCACATTCTGACTAAGGAAAAAGCAGATGAGTGTTTATTCTAACTTGTTAAACTGCTTCTTATCAGTGAGATAGTGACAGGTTGTGTCAGCTAAACTGTAGACCTGCATGTCCAGATGTACTGAAGGGGATTTAGAAACACATACTTCTCATCCATCTTTCTATGCATAGAAATGATTAGAGATTTTTACTATGTTTCTCAAAAGAAGCTCTCACAGGACATAATATGACAATGTTTTGTACCATATTCATAAATGGAAGCTAACCTGGAACATTTTTTTTTGAAACATTAAAAACGTTTTAGTTTTTAATACAATCTTAGTTTTTTTTACTAATCCCAACAGTCAGCTATATGTTATTCCTTCCTGCAATGTTTTTTCTTTTTTCCTTTTCACTAAGTTGCCCTTTGTGCAGCATTGTGAAGACACTAAAGGTTTTTGACTAAACCAACTCAGTACCATGAAGTGTTCAGTTACAGCCAGAAATACTTTTATGACTTACTCTTTTACTTTGAGACAGCAGACTGTAACTATATGCTAGCAAAATAAAAAAATTACAGTTTATACATCACAAACACAATCAACATTATAAGCTTCATAAACGTTGCTTTATTGGATGCTTTTATGTATCATTCTCACTGTACTGGGTATATCCTATGTCTTTATGATCGCCAGTGAATATGACCTACCGTACTTTTAGTCCAGCCTAATAGCATAAGCATGTGAATGTCAAAGACATTCTCTCACCATATCCTGTCAAAGCCCTGCCAACATGCCTGCCCACTCAGAGACCCTCACTCAGCTAGCTGTTAGTGGCATTGTAAAGACATTACATGCAAACCAAAGAAACGGTGTAGAATTTGCACAAGGGGGCCATTCGTCAAATACTACCTTCACTTTCCCGTGTTTTACTTGAGTCATGCTCAGCTCCTGCTCCTGGGTTCAGATGTCTGTAAAGCGTGAGATCTGCAGGGTGGCATTCTGCTCCCCAACTGTGGAGCATGTTTTCTGAATACCTGAGGTCGGCAGAAACGGTCAACTCTCTTAAATCAGGGCATAAAATATTATTGTTTCGGATGTTTCTCCAATAAATTACATATACAACTTATTTGTATTTATTTATTATGTAACTATTTATCTGCTTTCCTTTGCTTTTTTTGTTTTCTAGTTTTTTAAGACCTTTTTTTACATGTCAGTGTGATGTTTTCTTAAAATCCTATGTTTTATGTTAATATATTTCAATGTCCATTTAATTTGCTTTGGTCTGAATGGCGCTTTCTCAACCGCCTTGTCTTGGTCTTTCCTGCCAGAGTTCAGTTTGCACTAGAGGCATTTTCATCTAGCATCACAACAAATCACAAAATGTGTGAAATGGTATTTATGCCTCTATCAAAGATGGGATTTTTTCTTTTTATGTTATAATGTTGTAAAATGTCCCCTACAATATTCCAGTCTTTCTTGACTTTCTTGACTCTTTTATTGAGTTTGTGAGTTAATCATTAATATCTCTCCACTGTGTTCCTCTCCATCTCAGGTGTGTACGGCGTTACGAGAACCATCTCAATCGCTGCCATCCGTGCTCTGCAGCCATCTCTCCATGCGGCCGCTTCATTGCCTCAGGCTCTGAGGATAACTGTGTAAGTTGGAATATTCCATATGCTGTCTATCCGTCAGTCAGCTTTTCTTTAAGCATAGTTGGACAATTGACTATGTTAGTCAGTAATTTAAATAAATGTTCTATAAACTTGAATGGGGTGATAAAGTAATTAAGGGGAGCTAAGGGGATTGCAAAAAGTTGTTTTAAAAGCTGTGTAAAAAACAACAACATTGACCACCGACATGATCATGCGTCACTGTTACTTCAATTTTTGAAGAGTTATAGAGTGGTTAGGCCACTGTTAAAGAAGTCACAAAATAAAGCACTTTGATATATTAAAAGGAAAATAAAAGTTGTACTATTAACACAACGCATAAAGGCAGATACAATGAAGTATTTTTCTTTGTATCAGCTGCTACACTGTGTGTCAACACTGTGTGTCAAGCAGAAACTCGTGACAATTAAGCATCTTAGAAATACTTTTTATGGTACATATATATTACTGAACCTTGTAAACCACAAGGACAGAAGGAAAACAGCGGCATATCTGTTTCAGTTTCACCTCCATTTAAGGTGAAGTCTGTTTGTGCTTGACTCAGAGATTTTGTTTGGACTTAAGCCTTTTTCCAATTTCAACATTCATGTTGAAGCAGAACTGTTTAATTGCTTTTCCAGACCGGACCTTATTTCTTTCAAAAAGTTTTCAGAAGCATGCCTCCCTTTTCCTTATCCATCTCTCTTTGCTTCTGGTCTACGTGCTTTTTGAAAGAAGTGGAATAATATATACCCACCGTTGGTAATTATTAATTATGGGGACTCGGCACAGCAAGGACATTTGAGAGCATCTCTGTCGAGATTGGACTTTTTTTAAGGTTTCTTGGAAATTGGTATACGGTAGTGAGCTACAGCATATTTATTTGTTGCTGTCCTGAGACTTTCATAAGCCAGACACATTTGTACATGTCTTAATATATCAAAAAGTAATCATGGAAAAAAGACCCTGAATACTTTAAAAAGACTCCCTAGATCATATTACACAGTTTCCAAAAACACACTGCCAAAAAAAAATCTAAGTGGAATATGATTTCAGTGTGGTCAATATGAACCTGTTATACGTTCAGTCTTGCCCTCCGCTTCAGTTTCAGTTAATATAAACTGATACATCTGGGGATCCATGTTATATTCAAGCATTCCTGAAGGAATTTCTTTCTTCCAAGTATCTAATGCCCTGTTAGGCACCACACACATATGCCTCTGACAGGAGACACTCTACCCATGGACCGTTTGACAGAGCTCACTTGGAGCGTTTTTTTTAGCAAACATAATACAAAACAGCTGCAGGAATCTGATGAGTCGTCGTCTGGTAACAAACATCCCCACATCTGTTTTTATCTGTGCTCATGGCACTGAATCAAACGAATGGGTCTGAAAACTCACTGATTGTATTTAGCAAAAGAAAACTGTGCTAACAAGCTGATAATACATTAAACATATATTCTAAGATTCACATAAAGTGTTGATTCTAAGACGTCCACACCAGCCTTCTGCAAATGTCTTATTGTGCACATAAGACCTTGTCTTTACTGTAAATTCACACCTACTTAACACCTTCAAGTAAAGAGATGATAAGTGAGGCTTTAACTACCTCTAAGCCAAAAATAACTGTAATATTTCCGCAAAGGTTCATTAGGATTATTAGTGGGTCTCAATGGCTACTTATTTGGGAAGTGTCTTTTCCAATTTAAGGGCAACTTCTAATTGTTGATAAACTACTTTCCTTGCTACAGGGATGTAGAAGTGGAATCCAAAATAAATGCTACATAGATTTAGTTTGTTGCTTAAAAATTATGAAGTTTGATAACCAGCCCCTGTTTTGCCTTTCCCCCAGAATCATTTGGGTTTCATCCAGCAGTAGAAATGATTCAATCTATACAATATAGCATAATATTATGTGTTAAATTATCAATAGCCAAGTCTCACCGTCTAGCCAATCTCTGAACATAGTCACAAACCTTTGATGATCATTAGGGAAACTTTGATTAATTTGATCTTATTTTAAGGAAAGTATGTTGTTAGGTATTAAGGTGAAAGAATACTCTGATATTCAACCCAAAGAACAATTGAACATGACAGTATGACAGATAATTCCCCCCCCCCTTAAAGTTGAAATGATCCTGAAAGCAAACCCACATGTGTTCATGTCACTTTGAATGTAGTTGTACCACATTCACTACATCTGGACATCACCGCAGTGTTAAAGTTCAAACCTGCTTTTGTTCATGTAGTCCATCTCTTTCATTTCAGGCCTACGTGTATGACATCCGCAGCAGCAGCTACCTCCACAAACTTCAGAAACATTCAGACACGGTGCTCAGTGTAGCTTTCAACCCTGCCACCCCACAGGTAAGTCTTACCTTTTGTCTCTGATTCGGTCATTTCCTCTTAAGTAAATGGTTTGTACGGTTTCATTAAATACCTTACTTTGACCTCTTTACTGACATCAGATACAGTGAAGTTGATAGAGAAAAGTGTTAATGCGTTTTTACCCTCCTCTCATCTATGATAATGTCTTCCAATCAGTGTCATCTTTATCTCAAACATCTCAAACTGTTATGAAAGAACAATCTTTAAAAGCAGGTAAGAGCTCAAGGTGAAAAACAGTGTCAGTCAGAGGCCATGTCTTCATTCCAAGTAAAAGCATCACTGCTTCAGTCTTTTGTGGGGGGGCAGGGGGCTAATGTAAATTGTTCGTAAATGTCACTTTGTTAATTTGCAAATTAGTATTTGACAACATTTCCAAAGGTACAGTTCAAATAAGAAGAGAACTTTCTGATGATCCTAACATTAATTACTGAATGTTGTTTTTCAGTCATAATAACATGATTTGGTTAACATGGTTTGAGTGTCATTTATACATTTTTCTCTCATATTTCATGATGTCAGACTGTTACATAGGTCTGCAGTATCTCTACTTTTATAATGAAGGAGATATATCCTCAGGCTGAGGTCACATAGCAGGACTTATTCAGACCATCCTAAAGTTCAGGGTCAGTCGACTTTATGAACGTGACCTCACAGACTTTCTACTAGTAGCCAGGAAATCTATATCAATGACAATAGAAATAATAGGAAGCTTTATCATGTGTTGAATAGGTGCTTTTAAATGTATTTGTGTGTATGTTTCATTGTGTAAGTGCAAACATACCCTTGTCTCTAAAAGTACTGCGTATTATACTGAAATGGTTAACATAAGATAACACTTGTATACGGTAATTTCAATGTGTATAAACCGAAACTAAAAATGCTGCTTGCAACTAAAACAACTTCAAAGACGATACAATTTTTTTCTTAATGTAAGCCTCCTGGAACAAAACCATTTCCATTTAAAATGAGTTTCCCCAAATCGCTCTATGGCAAGTTCATAGTCCAATCAGATAATGACTACCGCTCTATTGTGCCATGTGGCATCTATGACTGGCTTTATGCACTGTGCTGATCCCCGTCCATGATTGGCTGCCTGCAGGGTTATTCCAGCCTGTGATTGGCTGCACAGTTCCACAGTTAACAAAAGATGAACGGTATACAGGGTTTTGCTTGTTCAGTTCAGGAGCTGCTTTCCAACTTTGGTGACTGTTTATACAATTTCGAACTGGATCCATTGTAGTTTAATGTCATGCCAGACTAAATTCCAAATTGATGGCACTGTGTGAGCGCCAAATGTAGAAATGCTTTGAATGCTTCAGTATTTGATCTCTTTATTTCAGTTTATCCCCAGAATTAATTTAAATCTGTTTCTTTGCTTGACCTACTACCGAACTAATAGAAATTCAGGGACTGTAGAGTCTCTCCATGGAAAACATAAAAGTAAAGTGTAATACAGGACAAAGAATGTGTCTATCTTGAATTGCCATTACAGGAGAATAAGAGTTTAAGTTTATAGCTTTACTTGAAAACGGCATCCTTTTCAAATCTCCAGAGCCTTTCCTAGAGGGCTACATTCTCTTTGTTATGTTTTAGTGTCCCCTAATGATTTTCCTTTGGAAAAGTTACAGGCCAGTTGTTTTGCGAAAGAAGCTTTTCAAAATATAACATCTCAACCTCTGCTGGACTTCTTATGAGACTTCTTGTTGCCTTTCTTTTGGACTTGAGGTTTTAAATCTTTTATGTCTTTCTGTGTAATTCAGTTCAACTTCTCAGAAGAACAGTGATACATTCAGATTCTCCAGTTGAAAGTGGACATTTTGATCCACGGCCACATACTAAACTACATATTCACAGGGTCCTGTCATGTTGTATCACTCATAAGGTCATCACGTATTGTCCATCATTTTTTTTTTCTTCTCAGATTTGTCAGTAGCCATGTTATTTAAGATTTGACCGATTTAATTCGTAAAATCCAAAAATGCATAAAATAATTAGTTTTCCAGAGTGTCATGGCTTCTTTGAATCATGGAAAACTTAGTTAGGCAGAATATCTGGGTCTTTTGTTCTCATGCTTTCAAACTTTGTGCTTTTAAAAGACTAATATTTATTCAGGCATTATGTTTACTTTGGTTGTGTAATTGCCTTCAGATTTGAGCTTTAAGCACAGAAATAGGTGCTCATACAATACATGTGCCTTCTCATACTAACCAATAACCACTAAAAGTGTAGTTTATTGAATTAACTGTCTCCTCCAGTGTTTGTCAAGCAATTTTCTGAATGCAATTAGCACACAGCTGCAAAGTCATGTGTATCCACTGCTGGACAGCTAACTTTCTGTCTGTGCACCAGAAGGGAAGGGGCTGCTCTTCATCCGTGTCTGAAATCATCATTCACTTTGGCCTATTTATTCTTTCTCAGGACCTTTGAGAGGGAGGTAGACCTCAGAAATTCTTAGCAAACATAGATAATACTGTATTAAATTGAAATTCACATCCTGTCATGGAACGCTCTCAGATCATTTCAGAGTTGGTGGAGGAAAAATAATTCCTGCCTCAGGTCTTACTAGCTCTCAACCGTATCACACAGTCTGCATTATTAGACAGAGATTACTCAGTTGTAATGGAGAGGGATTTGTTGAACCTTGAGCTTTGTTAATGTTATCATTCCATCCATATTATTATTAGGACTTTGTGTTAGCTTCAAGTTAAGTGTGGAAGTCCACTCCTTCATTCTTCAGATTTCTCTTTTTATTAGAAAAAGTAATTTAGCAAAACAATCCCTATTCAAGATCCACTTACTACAATATCCTGAATGTCTCTTTTTGTAAGTTCACTCCATTGTCATGCAGGTGGGTTGTTTGATTGACACAATCCATACTTTGATGGAAATATCTTCTTCTGACTCATATCCATACCAAAGTTGTGAAAGAAATGTTTTGTTTCACTTTGAATAACGCAGATATTATTCTGATACAATTTCACAGTCACTTTTACAAAAATAAGTTGAATCAATTGTGTCATTGATTCAATTTATCAATGACACAATTGGATTTGCAATTAGCTTTTGCTGTCTTAGAAGAATGGGAATAAAACAGAAAATAACTTGGGAAATGTAACTGATGCTCTGTACATTACTGCAGATGAATGTTGCTGCTAAAGATGGTACGGATCTGATATACTGAGTGTCTGGCTCTGCTTTGTGAGGCTGCTTCTGGTTAAACTTGATCCGGTTGATCTAATGTCTGCCTGGAATGGACGCATTCATATCTGAATTTTTTTTCTTCTGCTTGTTGCCAAATAAGAGACCTGTGAATAAAAAATGATTAAAAGATCAGGAAGTCCTGGGAAAATGTCTGCTTAGTCTTAAAGTTAACTGACACCAAGGCCATGTGATATCATCATGGTAACATTGCTGTATTTCCTTAGCCTGGGCTTTCTGAAAAAGTGTCCCCAACCTGTGCTCACCTTGCTTTCGAGACACATTTGAGGGCCAGATGTGCTCCATATTTACTGCTGAGAGAACCCTCCGATGCAAGACACAGACAGATAATGCGATGCGTATTTTCCACTCATTTTTCACTCATGTTTTCCACACTAATACTTAAAAGACCATCAAGCAGGCAGATCTACCTCCGGGGTTCATTCCCTCAGGTTTATTCCAGTACTTTAGTCAGTAATGAAAGATCCCAACTTTTACTGTCTCGTTCACTTTGTTGTCTTGTAAAATCTTGCGGGATTTCACATGGCATACCTCAAGTTTTGCAAGCTCTCCTGTGTAGGACCTACATGTGCTACCATAAAAGTAGACGTGCAAATTCTACTTGAGAGTACGTTCACACTTCACATGAGTAATTTCGTATCTGCTGATTCAACAAGGATATTCTCCTTCTTTATTTGATTTGTTGGAGGCTAAGCGTTCTTAGTGTTCAATTTGGGATTAAGGCATGAGTGATACTGTATCTGAAGCTACCTCCTCCAAATTAAGATTCATAAGTAAAAGGAAATAGCTTGAAAAAGATATCTAGGTCAGACTGGAGAAATAGACTTCATGGGGCTTTGCTCTATTTGGGTTATTCAGATTTCTGTACAGTCTCACTCCAGCTGTCGTTAGCTCCAATTGCATTGTTCCACATTAGCAGTGGAAACGTCTTTGTAGTATTTACAAGAGATTGGTTCTTCAGAAATGAAGGGCATGATACTAAGAGACATAAGGAATGATTTTCTACAATTTGAAATGTCAGTAAACATCAATGAAAAGTGACAAAGGAGGAGAAACACAAGTATTTTTTGTAAAGTTACTATGCATTCAAGAGAAAATAGAGAAAAATCCTTACATTGTTGTTAAACTGTCCGTATGTTGTGCGAGCCTTTATTAGATGTGACTCATACTTTATGAATTGGAAAATCGGTTAGCGTTGTAACTTTGAGCTGTGGGGGACTCGCTAGATGTGGACATGGTGTTGCAGTAAGAGACATTTACAAGCCAGATCCATCAAATGAAAAAAGGAGTTTGCTTTGAGTAATCCTAAACCAGGTGTGCTTGATGTTTAAACATACTTGAGTTCCAATGTTAGCTGAATCAGCAAACCGTCAAATCGTTGCTGTATGCCGTCATCTTCATCCCGTAATGTCCGTTTACTGTATGCTGGTTGAAATGACCAAAATATCAACTTTAAAAACAGAAAATATTTTTATGTGAGCTTTAGTTTATACAGAAGTTGATGGTTGATGGGTCATTCTGCCTCAAAGTATTCTCAGATCACAAGAGAGTAAAAAAGACCACCAAACAAACTGAAGTGTTAGTAATCGGACATGGAAAATGTGTGTTTGTGGTGGAACAAAAGCAATCAGTTTATGGTGACTGAGGTTTCCTGTTGTTTAAATGTGTTTGTTTCTTTGAAAATATCCTTGAGCAACTCAGTGAACCCTTCTGTCCCAGAAACACTGCTTCACCCTGATATATATGGGCATAAATGCAAA